CTTATCCTCTGAGCATTTTTCTGCATTATCTTCAGATCCATGCTTTACCTTTTGCAAAATGTATGTAATTTTAGATTGCTTGCTTCTAGTTAAAAGGTCTTTATAAATTTCCTTATATGGTGCTAAGCACTTATGAAGAATAAAGCAAGTATGGAATAAGGGAAAAACATTCGGCAACATCAGAAGCAGAAGCGTCGAGATCTGGCAACATTGAAAGAAGTTTCGAGAAGGACCATGTGTATCGACAGAAAAAAGAAAAGAAAATTTACATACTTAAGTACTAACAGTTTACGAAAATAATAATTTTCGTGAACTATTATTACTTAAGTATGTAAAAATTTACAGTCGAACCTCCTATAATTACGGTCCCTATAATTGCGATTTCTATAAAACTGCGAAAAAATTGTGACGGTATCCGTAAAAAATAATAAAAAAAAACCCGTGTCCTGTTTTATATTTGTGGCGTAGTAAACACTAGTATTGTGTTTTATTCTAAAGACACATGGCAAATTTTCCATCAAATTCCTTTATTAGTTGAGTCGATACGGTACATTGTTTTGTACTCGTTTCGGGCTTTGCCCCTCTTCAGTCAACTAAAATACAATACATATTTAACTTATTACAGTAGAGAGTTTACATAAAACAATGAGTACATAAACGATACCTTTTGGTAGACGTACCTTTTGGTTACACTTTGTATAATTTAAAAAAAAACATGTAAAATCTGCTTTAATCTTTGTAAAACTATTTTACAAAGATTGTAAAATTATTAATCTTTGTAAAACTATTTAATCTTTGTAAAACTATTTTAATCTTTAACTGTTTAATCTTTGTAAAACTATTTTATATTACGAATTTTAATTCGTAATATAAAATAGTTTTACAAAGATTAAAGCAGATTTTACATGTTTTTTTTTTTTAAATTATACAAAGTGTAACCAAAAGGTACGTCTATATATCGTTTATGTACTCATTGTTTTATGTAAACTCTCTACTGTAATAAGTTAAATATGTATTGTATTTTAGTTGACTGAAGAGGGGCAAAGCCCGAAACGAGTACAAAACAATGTACCGTATCGACTCAACTAATAAAGGAATTTGATGGAAAATTTGCCATGTGTCTTTAGAATAAAACACAATACTAGTGTTTACTACGCCACAAATATAAACAGGACACGGTTCAAAAAGAAAAAAAAATAACGTATAATATAAAGTATTTACATAAGAAAAAGTATTGAATAGGTTAAGAAGAAAAGTTAAATTTTTATTTGTTTCATAAGTTTAAAGTTTAAACATATAAAACAAATAAAAATTTAATATTCAAACTGTAAAATTCTTAAATTGTAATGCAAAACATGAGAATTTCATCATTTTCAGGGCATAACCTATTTTTTGTCGCCTCATAAATGTTACCTCCAGTGTTGAAAATTTTTTCACTCTTAATGGAAGATTCTGAGGCACTTAAATATTTCATAGCTATTTTACTCAAATTAGGAAAAAGTTCTTTTGAACTTTTCCACCACAAAAATATATACTATGTCTTTGTTTAAGGGATAAATGTAAATATGTTTCTAATTCTTGATCCAAACGTTTGTTAGTCTCGTTTTTCTTTCTTTTTTAAAAACATGCTATTCTTCATTATTTTGTTTACCAGAAGCTAATTCATCAAATAAATCAGAAAAACTTAGAAATTCACCTCCAGAAGTAGAAGCTTCAGAATTGAATTCTTATTGAGATTTCCTCTACCATATTTTCTTTTTGAAATTTCATTTTCAATCTAATAAAAAATGACAAGCATAAAGACTTGTATTCTATATATGCTGAAAATCTTTTTTTATTGGATTTTCTAGTTCTTCTGTTGTGGTATTAATGCCACTAAAGGAACTACTGATCTTTGCTTTTGATAAGAATAATTTCAAAGTCTCTATTGTGGGAATTATTGAAGATGAAGTGGCTTCTCGTTTGCTGGCTTNAGGTTTTAAGGATGTGATTAAAAATTTTATTTTTAGTTTCTTTCTATAAACATTTATAAGTGCGTTTTAAGAACAATACTATTAACCATATAACACGTGATTTTATAGCTGCAAAGTATCACGTGTGCTGGTGACGTGTCATCACTGAAGACTTCTCTTTCGTTAACCTTGAGGGTGCACCTTTTGTTTACTGCTACAACGGGGACAGTAGTTATGAGTTTACTCGTCTTTCTTTGTTACTTGCTGTAAATTTCGAATAAACATTTATTTATTAATTAATTCTTTGATTGAATACAACTTGTTGACACACGAGAATATCGTAAATCGAGAAAATGAAGATAAAACAAGAGTTAGAAACAGAACATTCGGACTGTACAACTGAACGAATCGAAAAGAAATTTGAAGTTGATTTAAAGAATTTCAAGAAAGAATTTAATACGGATGTGAAGTGTTATAAAACAATTAAATCGGAACCCTTGGAGGTGAGTGAGAAATACTTTATTGTAAGATCGCAGTGTTGCTTTAAGGACGAGAAACACAGCTATAGGCTATAATATAAAGTGGGAAATAGAGGGAAAAAAAATATTTTAAAATAGTATATTAGTATAAATAATGGCTCCACGCGCTTTAAACTGAGCTACGTTGTTTCTGATTTCAAGCAAAAGTTATTTCGACTCTTTACAAAGAAATTTGACGTTTTGGCCACGATGTTCGTTTTAAAAACTGCACATGTTTAGTTTACGGATACGGCTGTTTTAAACGTTTTCTTCCATAAAATTAATCGATTTTAGACTAATTTGACTTAAACTATTTCCAAAACACGTATAAATTTTCGGAAATAATCCATATAAAAACAAAAAATTGTAGGGATACTTACGGAGTGTGCATCGTTCGAAGATGCCATTGCATTAAGCTTGATTTCCTTGAGGAGCGGCACATCAGACGGCAAACACGTAGGAAGCGTGTCACGTGACATTTGTTTGTGCTATTCCGTCACGTGACTACTCATCGCTGATATGTTTCTTGATAAATTATTATTTTTGCAAGAAATTAGAACAATTTTCTTTTTCTCTAACCAAAAATCCATCTTCGCGAGTATAACTTCTACGCAAACCTCATTTAAATATATCAATTTTTTCAATATTTATGAATTTTTAAATTTCTACAAATTTATGGGACACCCTGTATTAATTTGCTTAATAATTAATAAATTGTTTTCAAAATAAAATCTCATAACAGCCGGAAAAGTAACGCAATTCCTTGCTAGATATTTTATTATGTCGGGATCAGTAACTATAATAGTTTTGTTTACACGCGTCACGTGTTATTCAGAGAAATTTTGTAGTTTGATTGGTAGTAGCTAACATTGCTTCATTTTATACTTAATTCCACATAATATTTCGAACGTATCTACTGTTCTATCTATAAATTAATATTTCAGGTACGTATAGTTTGAGTTTAATGTATTATATTTGTAAAATCAATGATATTTAAGCTGTATGATGTTAAAATGTGTTCGGGACTTCTAAATTTGACACGATTTTCCTTTGAAAGGTATTAAATAGATGACAGGCACTACCATTAAAAGAAAGTAGTTGGTGGCCATATTTAAAAAAAAATTAATTAGTAAGCGTATTTTTATGCTTTAAATAGTTATTGTATTTGTTTTTCTATAAACATCAACCTGTCAAATAATATAACGTAATCTTATATTATTTCAGATAAATATTAAAGGAAAGCGAATTTTCACACACAACATAAACGGATCCACTATTTGGAGTCATTCTGGTTATAAAATCGAAAGAGGTAAGAAGCTTAATGCTTTTACCACTATGAAAGTATATTTCTACTGATAAAAATAATAGGTAATACAGTACATAAATTTACATTCATTTAAATGGAGATGATAACGTTTGAAAAACGTTGCGAATACGTTGTGTATAGTGATTAAGGATTTAAATAAAATTTAATATTATCAATAATAATTAATTCAGTTGACAGATTTAAAATTGTCAATTCAATTGATCAGAATCTTAAACAGAGAAAAGTCCAATTTAGATGTTTTAGATTTCAATGAAACGAGCAATTGTTTATTACATTATGGCATTGTTACAATGACGAGCTGCAATTTATAATCATATTTTTAGTGTATTTAATTTAAATTATATGCTCTTCATTTGAAATTAATAGTGGTTTGTCTCTGTATATTATACTTTTCGTTTGACAATGCGGTTGTGACGGTCATTTATTAACTGTTTTCAGGAGTAAGGATTTTAGTTTAAATAACGTAACTTTCGATCTTCACCAAAAGTTCGTACACAGTTAATCGGTGTCTTGTCCCTTTAATCTTTTCACATTATTTTACCTCTGCTTTTATCTTCGTTTGTTCTCGAGATTAAGAAAAAAACTGACACACAGACAGACGACAGTGAGAATTTATAGGTCTGCAATTTTTTCTGCAATTACAGCCCAATAATATGATTAAATTCGATTTTTTTAAATAAATAACGAAAAAGCCTGTTGGTATTTTCGTTATATAACATTACCCATTTTTTTTTTTTTTTTTTTTTTAATCACCTAAAACACAAGA